ATTATTTTATTACTTTTTTTTAAGTAGGTGAGGTTGCATATGTTTATGGGCGGCGGTAGTGGCTTACCATGAAGTGTAAGATATTGTTTCAAAAGAAAACGTTTTTTTTTAATCTGCGTCGACATTGCAAGTCCCAATCGTATTCTTATTTTGTTGTGAAACTGTTAAATATTACTTACATCGTAAAATAAAACATTGTTCCCCTGTAATAGAAAGAAAGTGTGTGTTAACTCCGACGCACGACTGGAGTTTACTCCTTAAGAACGATTCTACACACAAGTATACAAGTTATAGATACACATGTGAAAGGTACGCAAAAACGTAATGAGGTCATTCGATAACTAAATTTTACTCTTCATTTTTTTTTTATACCGGGCGCTTTATTAGAATCGATTCTTAAGGAGTAAACTCCAATAACTTCAGGCGACCAAAGCCGCGGCCATGGAGTTTTATATTACAATACCTTTTCTTTTAGATGTTCAAATTGTCTATAGAAAAAAATACTTTTGTTTGAAGAAAGTTATAAGAATATTTAAACAATCTAAGAAATTAATAATTAAATTTTCATCTAAGTTTCTTGATGTATTCAAAACTCAACCTTATAGATGAGAGGGGGAGATTATAGATTCGGTTACCTTTCTCACTCTGTGAAAAGGAACTAAAGAAGTACTGAGTTAAGTATAACAACATTTCTTTGTGGGATCCTGGCATCACTCCGGTCAAAATGGCCATTACGTGTATGTTCCGATGTATGCTCTAATACTGAGTTGAGGATGATGAGATGCCGAAGTGTTCTGACTGGCCTGTTGGTCTAGCGGTTAGTGACCCTGACTGCTATGCCAGAGGTCATGGGTTCGATTCCCACCCAAGACAAATAATTGTGTGATAAGCACGGTCATTTGTTCTATGTCTCGGTATAATTTATCTATAAAATGTATGTATTTAGAATTATATAAGTATATTTATCATAGCACAGACAATATGATCAGATCAGATTGCCGTGTGTGAAATGTGTGAAAAGATTATTATTATTCTTCTGTTGTAACTCTTAGAGTTTAAAATTAAACAGATTGTTAAGGACCTTTTTTGAATTAATATCTAGTTCAAGCGAAAAATAAACAGGTAAGTTGTAATTTAATTTAAATTGTATATCTAACTCTTGGGACCGCTTTCGAGTTCATCTTTCATTATCAACGGTTAAGCCGTGCCATTGAAAACAAAAGCGTGGCCTAAATAATCAAGATAACGACACAGTAGGAGAGATTGTCAAACAAATCCTCTTAATCCTCGAACTGGTTTCATTTAAAGTGAAACCTTCTTTTTAATAAATTCATTTCAATTTCCAGTTAATTTTTGTCCATGGCTGTGTTTTGTTTGTTATGATACTTAGATTTTTATCCTAAGGCAGAAATTAATTTGGGAGAGGTTCGGACCTGACTGTAACACCATTGGTGTTGCTAATGGTAATTAACATTAGTAATCAAGTATAGTATATAAACTATAGATAATCTTTTCTAAACACGTATATGATACTTTTTTTTTTCACTAGGTAATTTGTTTTTTTTTTTTCGATTATTTTAATATCAATTTCACCTTTAATCAACAAACGAATAAATCAACAAAGAAAGATGGAAGAACAGTATAAAAATGTTAAATAAACATGATTCATACTTAAAGTTAAAAGATATCGTATCTTAAATTGCTTAATACTTAACTTTGTTAATTAGGCAAATATTGGTTCTTTTGTAACTTCTTAATTTTCTCTTAAGTAACTCTTCCAAACAAATATTTAAACATTGTAACTATTAATGAATAAGTTGATTCATTGGAAACATCAACAGTATACATGAATATAAAATAACGAATTGAATACACTTTTAGAGTATATTTTGGAAAATGTGAAGTAAATTTACTACTACTTTATTTACTGGGATATTTCGCTTAGTATTCTGTTTCTTTCACACATAAACTACATATAAATGAATACAACATTGAATACAGCGAAACAAATACAAATTATTCGCAAACAAAAAATTGATTTCAACTAACAGGAAGCAAGGGCGGAATGCGACCAAGAGACTGACTAGCAAATTAAAGGCGTTAAAGCTATAGTCCTATTACTCTTTATAGGACATTTTAACTACTAACAATCAAATGTGTGCGTGGTCTCCTGCACAAGGTAATAGAGCCAATAATCTATTTAGCAAGAGTAAGAGATTGAGAAGCTTAAATACTACAGTTAAAAACGTCAGTAAACTTGCCTGTTATTTTGACACAAATACAAATCTAATTTGTGTTTATGTCAAAATAACAGGCAAGTCATTACAATAAGGAAGAGACGAAAGAAACAAATAATTGACATTAATTTTGTCAAATTTATTCATTATTCTTAATTAAATTTTATTTACAAATTCATGATCCTACATGTGCCATTCAGGGTGCTCATTCATTATATATTTATACATATTTATAGCGGAATACCCCTTTGGTCTTCCTTAAATAGATAAAGGTTCTACGAAGTGCACTGAAGTGGAATGTGCAGAGTTTTCATTACAGCACTCAACCGGCCATTAATTTAAACCTAGTTGCGTGCCTTAAAAATTTTACTGTGACATCATAATTAAATTTTGTAATTTTCTTTTTTGACTTCACCTTGACATTTCAGAACCTTGTAATTATCTCGTAAATTATGGATGTAGTAACTGAATTAGAGAAAGGTATAGAAGTTATCATTGTTAGATGATAAATACATCTGTTCCGTGTGATGACGGATTAAGAACACAGTGTCACGGCTCTTATGACACCCACGGGATGGATAGGGGCCTATCCATCCCGTGGGTGTCATAAGAGCCGACTAAGGGAGCAAACTACGCCGGACAAAAGCACTGCAAGGAGAAGGAAGAGTTGAAACAAATCCTATACCAATCCGTCTGGCCAGCGTGGTATAGTAAAACCAAAACTAAGGAGAGGAAACCTCTCTTTAGAACTTTTCCAAGGAGAGGCCTATGTCCAGCAGAATACACACAAAAGTAAAATCAAACTCATGAGTCGACAGCAAACAAATCTCAGATTTCTCTGGTCTCTTTGCGTGCCTCAGATGTAATGGGAATGGATGAAGATTGACACAGTGAAAGGGCATATTTTCCAAAATCACCTTATTTTCTTTATATTATTTAAAGTGTGCGATTGACGATGACAGGCGTGCCCATTTTATGTGTGTGACCAGATTATAGTTGGCAGAATGTAAGTCTTTGATACGCGTTTTTCTGCCACTTCAAAGACACAGGTATGAGTATACATTAGTGATGGAAATTATTGCTACCTTTAAATCATAATCATATGATGAAATGATAAGTTTTAGACAGTGTGATTTTACCTGTGATAAATCACTACTGGGATTACGTCATAGACAAAGATAAATGTCATCAAAAACTTAAGTAAAAAAACCAAAACCTTTTTTTTTATATGTAGACCTTTCGAGAGTCTGGCGCTAGCGTAATCATAAGTCGCAGTGTTTTTGTAAATAAGTCACAGGTGGTTATATGATTTGTAAATTTTGTGATTGTGATTTTATTCCATTATGCATGTTTGTATTAAGAAACAGCTGGGTAATTTTTTATTTTATTTTATTTGCTATGTTAAGTCTATTTCTATAAAAGAAGAAATGGTGATCCTTATCCTTGTGATGATGTTCGAAAGGTTAATAGTTTTTACTCGTACCTTAAATTGAGCTAAATTTAGGGACTAGATGGTATCGTCGTTATGTTTTACGAGGTTATGTAGTGAAGAAAAATAGGTTCGTAGGTAGGTAAAATCATAGGTTTGACGGTGTAACTGTCAGAATATCCATACGCAATAGTTGTCATAGAAGTTTATCAATACGATAACCGTTGAACGGCTCCGAACTCAGCATCATAATAAACTAAAACTTGTCTGCAATGTTATAATCATAAGTCTTTGATTACAATCCAGTTCAGTATTGTGTTACTCATATTTTCTTGGAGATCTTATATTTATTAAGATATTTATGGTCTACAATTGCCTTTGTCAAGATTTAGTGTGGTAAATCTTGACAAATAGTCACTAAAAATAAAATTCACAATATATAGAATAATATAATTTTAAGAAATGACAAATACAGATCTAAATTAATTTTACTAAAAGTAAATTATTACCATTTAATGGCACTTAAATACCCATTTTATTCAAGTGCCGTTCAAATTGTATTAATATTTTATCTCATAAGGAAAAACCATTAATTTTATCTGTCGCCTAATGCCAGCCATAATTTAAATTTCAAACCACTTAATTTCTCACCAGACACCTGGATTCGGTATTCCGAAATTCGAGAATAGGTGAAAATTCATCTAAATAATTTCATCGTAATCCGTGAAGGTATTCGTCGCCATAATTCCCTCTTATTGCAATACCTCGAAAGAAATGCCATTCCCATTATGAAAATGACTACGTCATAAGGATTGGATGAAATATCTTATAAGTGCCAGCTTTGTTGTATTCTTACAAAGTTGGTAAGAACAAAATATTGTTAGACGTAATTCGGTGAGATATTTGCCTAAGCTTTGCTGAAGAAGCAAAAGTTTTAGGTATGTACTGATTATGCTAAGACTTTGCAAAATTTGAAAAGTCGTATGAGTTGGTGCAAGTTTACGAGATACCGAGAGTTTAAATGTGTGCTATTTATTTTACGGACTATTTACATTAGGATAAAATTAACCGTACTAGCGACTAATTTGGGATGTTGGCTTGTCTTAAGATGTTCTCCTAAGAATACTGTAAATGTAGAATGGCCTTAAAAGATACCAACACCTTATAGAGCTATTCTTCAGGCTCTAATAATAAATGACTAGGTATGAGCTCGTACAATAAAGCTACCAACTGGTAAATAAACATACATGAGCATTGCATTAAACTAAACATTTATGAGTTTGGTACAAACAAAATTCGGTTTCTATTTAAAATGTCTATCAGTTCTTGCATCTCTATGTACCAAACACAATATCCTCAGGCCTGGAACAGGATGCTTGGTGGGCCCTCAGCACATCTGCTGACGTGGATCGGACACAGTTATTCATATGAATATCTGACGATGCATTGGAGTGGTGATGCTCTCGACGTGGTCTTTGGCAGCAGTAGCGACGGCCGATATCTCCACACAGGGTTCTGGTGACAAAAGTTAAATAAAGACTACTACACACAAATACGGCACTTCTACAAACATTTTTAAGCTGAATGTGAAATCCAGTCCAGTCCAAAAAGGTGTCCAGAAAGTTACCAAATCATAGTTCTCCAAAGTTTTAAGCGTCATGTTGAAGCTTGAACTACGACTTATTTACAATTTACGTAGAATTTAAGAAAGAGACAGTGATACTGGATCTTTATTTTATTTTTTTTATTTTTATTTTATTATATTATATTTGGGGAGCTTACGGCTAAATTTACAAAATATATATTATGTTAATTATCTAGATGCCATTTACAAGCTTCCACATGTAAACAGAAAACAGTGCTGGTATCTATAATAATACATACTAGATAGACTAACACATACATAGATAGTTACAACAGTTTAGGATCTAAAGATATAACATTTTTGAGGTTTCTGGTGCTACTGCAGAATAGATCTATGAGTTCACTGTGGTTTAATCTATTAAAAGATCTAGAAACCCTGGGTATGTAGCTGTTATACCGATAATTACTGTGGCAAAATGGAACATGGAGTAGACTACTGGAACGCAAATTTCTGGTGGGCATATTAAGTTTAATATTGCAAAGGACATCAGGACAGTCTAACCTGCTTTGAGCTATATTTAAGAGGAGACAGATATCAGCTATTTTCCTACGGAGAGAAAGAGGCAAAAGATGTAGTTTACTGCATTGCTGTTCGTAATCGAGATGCGGTAGTTTGAATTTAAAACCTTCATCAGTAGTATCTGCTTATTTTCTACTTCATCAGATGTCAGTTGTCATTACTAACTATTTCAGATCAGTTCAATAAGACCTCAGTCAAATAAGTTCAGTCAGACATTTGCAAACAAGTATCATTGTTTTCACAGCAAAATTTATATAATGATTATAAATAGAAAGACATTTATACTGTAATTACAACATGTCTGATGAGCGAATCCTAAGGAAATATTGTGTAGTGGATCTCTTATTATGTATTCTTTAATCGAATCTTGTACTAAATATAAATCTTTTTAATTAACTCTCCATATAGTTTCAATATGGTTTTTCCAATACACATTAGCACATTTTTCCACTGCCTGCTAGAAAGCAGCTAGCTCGTCTATTGGACAATTATTTAAATATTTATTGAGTTGTTTATTTATTTTAGGTTATAATGAGAGATCGCACTGCTAAATCTGTTACAGCACGATGCCAAGCTAACGTCAAACATAGCCGTCATTTTATGGCATAACACCACGAGACTTCTGACACGAGACGCTCAATGAGTTCGTAACACTAAGGTAAAATCTTGTAAATGTTTCCCGAAACAATCTTAAATATCTATTGACGGGCCTGTTGGTCTAGTAGGTAGTGACCCGGACTGCTAAACTGGAGGTCGTGGGTTCGTTTCCCACCCAGGACAAATATTGTGTGATGAGCACGGACATTTTTTCTGTGTCTGGGTGTAGTTTATCTATAATATGTATCTATTTAAAAATATATTAGCGTGTTTATCAGCAGTCTGGTTGCCATAGTACAGGCTCTGCCTAGTTTGGGATCGGACGGGCATGTGTGAGATGTGTGTAAGATATAATATTAAATTCCTTTGTTTGTATAATTTTTCATCCGTTTTCTTTCACAAAAACTTTCACATCATTTTATATCAGCTAAAGTGAGTTCTCCTCGCTTAAATTCGCTGAAAAATTGGAAGACATTTGGCTGAGAAGAGCTTTCGTCTACAAATGCAATTTAAAGTCTATCAAACAATTCTTCCGGTTCAAACCATTTTTGAACTCGTAAAATATCATCGTGTGGAAATGTTCTCGAGATTTTTCGGCGAGGAGCGATGTGACAGAAAATTTTCAGTTGTAACTTTTTGATCTTCCTAACACCATATTATAAAGTAAATAGTAAACTGTTCCATGAAGAAAGCTCTTTTTTGTTTGCTAATTTTTCTTAGTGGTCTGGTACGTTTGGCAAAATTGAAGGTCTAAAGAAAAGATTAAAGGTTTGCACCAAGGCCAAAACCTCCTTCCTAAGGAGAGGCCTATGTCCAGCAGTGGACTAGTAAAGGCCGTTGATGATGATGACCAAGGATTAAGAGCAATTTGTTAAAAAAGATAATGACAAGTATTTCGTTGCGAATCATGAGTATTTTATAGAAACGATAGAAAACTTCTCAAAATGCCAATAATCTTAAATACACAGAACAAGATACCTGCAACATGAGCCCAAAGTTTTTCTGAAGGCTGCCCTGAAGTCTCTGTTAAAGTAAGCGTAAATAAGCGGGTTGAGCGCAGAGTTGAAGTAACCGACCCAGAAGACGGCTGCCACAACCGGTGGAGGTGATGGACATGCGTCACCGCAGAGTGCTGTAATGATGTACCTGGTTAGAAAAAAAAATGGTCAGAGCACAAATACGTTATGGTAAGGTGGGCAGTATGCTTTGGCAGATTATTTAAAGATTTAAAAGAGATATAAATTTGATGGATGAATAAAACAAGCATTAATGGTGTACATCGCGGATGGAAGTCACTTACCATATACTATACTCATAATTAACCATGCTTTTTTGCTAGTAAAATTAATAAAACAAAAATGAACGAGCTTTTTAAACCCCGAATATCATGTTGTGCTAAAGTACTCATCAAGACAAAACAAGTCTTGTTGAGTTAAGAAGTTTCTATGGCCGTCTTCCAGCTCCTTCACCAGAACAGCTCCATAGTATCATATTATTGTATTGTCACTGAAGATACATATGCACATCTTTTAGTCTAATTCGCCATCGGGAAGTGTTTCCAATTTAACTTCCAAGATTCGTACCGAACTTATTATTTTTATTTAAAAAAGATAACTCCCGCATTAGGAACATATATCATGTGTCACGGGGGTCTTTACAAACATACATGAAATGGACACAAAGAACACTTAGACTCAGAACAACAATTTGTGTCTTATGTGGGGATCGGACCCACAACACTCGCGCAGTGGCAACCGCTTAAACCACTACGCCATCCGTGATGACCCTCACCTTTTTCGTATCATCTCAGTCTACCTTAGGGTGGTGGGGAAATGTCTGAGTAGGTGCACTAGAAATCAACTTTTATATGTAATGAGATAGTAATAATTAAGGATAGATCTCTTTTCTCAGGAAATTATTTGAAATCTATACATTTACTAGCTGACCCGGCAAACGTTGTTTTGCCATATCACATCACATCAACAGCCTATGATAGTCCATTCCTCCTTTCAAACCTCCTTTTAGAGGAGACGCCTATGTCCAGATAGACCTCTCCTTAGAAAGGAGGTTTTGGCCTACTATACCACACTGACCAGACAGGTTGGTATCGGGTTTGTTTCAAGTTTTTCTTCTCTTTGCAGTTCTGTTGTCTAGTGTAGTTTGTGCGCTTAGTCGGCTCTTATGATACCCACGCAATGAATAGAGGTGGTGACACTTCGTATTCTTAATACGTCACCACACGGATATAAAATTAAATAAAAGCTTTAAAACAACTCTCACCACAGGAAAAACGGCAGCCAGCATGCAAGAAATGCTGACATGATAATCCCAAGAGTCCTTGCCGCTTTCCTCTCCCTCTTCATCTTGTTGCTGGCCATCGGCTGCATCTGTATACTTTGCCGCTCTCTCATCACCTCTCCCATTGAAATACCGTTGATTTGTAGATGTTTATCCAGCAATAGAGCCGCAACTTTACTCCTGTGAACAAATGATTTCATGGATCATACCAGGTCAGCGAATTAAAGTAGTTTTACTTTAAAATATACTCCTGTAACTAACTGCTGCACTTTAAAAGTTACTATTCTAAAGCCCCCTTTTTTTTTCCGTGCTGAAATCCCCTCGGATGCCACCTATCGGTGGCATGTCGGACTCGAATTCTAAAGACCCTAAAATAACTAGAGTTCGCTAGGTATTGACATTCTTGTTTTATGATCATTTTATTTCATTGACCACTTTAGGTTAAACCGAGATTGTAATGACTTCTATACTATGATAGGTCATAATCCACTGGACGTTTTATTTATTTTATTTTATAACTTTATGCACAAACATATAAGCATCGGCGGACTTAATGCCTGAGGCATTCTCTACCAGTCGACCAATTGAGCGATGTAGAGAAAGGATGAGGTAGGTGCACTTATGGGGATATAATAAATGATAGAGGTTTTATTGAAAACCAACTATTTGACCTTTGAATACACAGTAATATATACATACATAGATATACACACACAAACATTTATACACATATTATATACATATATAGATATATTATAATAAAATATAATAATACTAGACGATGAGCTTAGACCTCGTTGATTCCGATAATTTATTTAGTGAAAGCGCCTTTACTTTCATCTTAAAAGAGTAACGATTCATGTAAACTTTTAACATAGCTTTTAACTTTATACCACATCATCATTAGACACTTTTCCCAAACTAGGCTGGGGTCGGCTTTTAGTCAACTACAAAATTATACTGTATTTGAAATCTTCCTTTCTTTCTTTCCTTTTAAAAAGACAACTCCCGCATTAGGAAATTATCCTGTGTCGCGCGGACTTTACAAACATACATCAAACGGACACAAAGAACACCCAGACTCAGAACAACAATTTGTGGATCACACAAAGTGTCGTAGTAGTAGTAGGAAGCGGCGTGGCGACCGCTTAAACCACTACGCCATCCGTGCAGTCAGTGCAAATATAATAGTTAACCAAATAATAATGGTAAGAGTATTTACAAAAACATAATTGTGCCGTCTTTAGTTATCTTCTATTCAATATCATTAGCATTTTGAATCAGTCATTTTAATATAATAGTAATAATTTAAAATATCCAAGTAACATCACGTCACTGGTTTTTTTATTATGGTATAAGGAGGCAATCGAGTAGACGGGTCACCTGATGGTAAGTACCTTCCGCCGCCCATGGACACCTGCAACTCAAAAGACACAAGTGCGTAGCTGCCCTTGGAGTCCCTCCCGCTCGAGTTAGCGGGACGGGGAATTTAGGCTTCGGTTCCCTCACTCACTCAGTGAAAGGCAACCAAAGAATTGCTTAAGACCTATTTTCTGTGAGGCCGTGGTATCACTCCGGTCAAGCCGAAGCATGGCTCTCCCACAGTTAAACGGCGGTTATCAAAGTTCTGTAAATAGCCTGTTGTTTTTAGGACTCCAAGTACCCGTACCAATTGCCACGAATGTTCTTATGGCAATCGGGACTGACAGCTTAACGTGCTCTCCGAGGCACGAAGGGGTCTTAATGTGTTAACCCATTCATAGACTGACCCGGCTAGGATTGCTTAATTTTACAATTTGCTAACCTACTCGGTACGAGCCTTACTTTATAACATATTATATTGTTTAAAAATTATAGCTTTTTAGGCTTACATATAAATATAAAATATTTCAAATATGATAATGCTTTCGTGTTCTATTCTTGCTTAGATAAAACAGTACAAAGAATTTTCTTTGCGTATAGAGATGTCAACCAGTCTGGCCAGCGTGGTATAGTAGGCCAAAACCTGCTTTCTAAAGAGAGGCTTATGTCCAGCAGTGGACTATTAAAGGCTCTTGATGTGATAGAGATGTAGATTCTCACACGTTTTTAAATAGACTGTAAAGCCTTTTTTGACAGGGTGGAAAATCCAAACGTATCTCCTGCTCCTTAGGGACTCAGTAGCCAGAAGTATGTGGTGATTCCTCTAAAAAGCACCCGACGCGTCCCGGGTGCCCTACTCTATGAGGACCCGGACCATGTGATTTCAGGTTCTTACTGAATCAACACCACGCCTAATCAGGCCCTATCCTAGGGGAAATGACTTCCCCCCAGTCTGAAGAACAGAGGTTCTTCAAAACTGAACATCTGTTAGATACATTTATTTTCAGGAGAGACCTATGTTCAGCAGTGGACCATGAATGGCTGTTGATGTGATGTGATGTTATTAATTATCAATCTCATTGTTTTGATTTGATAGCGTTGTGTCACATATGTTCGGATTTGCTATTATTATTATTCTCAGTAATTGACGTGAAGGAAACAAGGCGTGTCAATAATATTTCTGCTCCTTGAATAATTCAGATCGTCGTTAAGTTTTATAAATGTAGGTGGCATAGAGAGGAAGATACTGCGTGTTCGTGCGATAAACAACTTAAGCATGTGTGTATAAGCTTATATCGAAATAGAAATTGAGCTGTGGGCGTAGTATTTTCATATGTTCTGTAGTTATCCGTTTTATGAGGGACTAGGGACTAAGGGAAGCGTTCACCGAATCTACCATAGATTCGGTGAACGCTTTCTATTTTCTATATGCAAAAGTTTAGTCTTCAATGTGCAATGTATTTTTTTAAATGGCTTATATTGCTACTATTTTTATATAATCATCATTATTAGCCATGGACGGTACGGGTAGTTGGAACACCTTTTGTCGTCTTAATACGAATAAATCCTCTCCCCTCCTGGCCACGAGAAGCTCCGCATTAAACTCGCGTGTATATATAGTGTTTCTGTCTACTTTTCGGGAGATACAGGCGTGAGTATACAGACATAATTACCTAAACACCTAAATTTTGCCGATTTACGCTTCTCGGTATGATTACCTGCAACAGTACTGCGTTTTTATCGCACAAATAGCGCCCAAAAATGGTGCGCTTGTTTGACTTCCTTTAATGCTTTCGCTTTCCTGCAGTATTCGACTAGTAATCGAATAAAATAATTTAAGTGTTCAAGTTATATAACATTAGGTATACATGGCATTATTAAGAAAATAATAATCATTATTTACCATATTTAGAAGATTATTTAGGATCAGAACAAAATGTTTTTAAAGGTTTTTATTGTAATAATAACATTATACAAAATAATCCAACCATTCGTAGACTTATATTAAACCTAACTAAGTACTAAACTAACTAAGACCAAAATATCTATGATAATATTGTAAAGGGGTAAAGTTTGTGAGTTCATATTTTTGGGGTAATCTCAGGAACTACTGGTGTGATTTGAATAATTCTTTTAGTGTTGCATAGCCCTTTTATCGAGAAAGGATATAGGCTACTTAACATTATGCTACAATTAATAGGAACCGAGTATTAATGAAAAACGTTGCGAAAACGGGGAAAATTTATCCCTTTTGTAGCGCTCAAACCAATATCTAATAGGAGTACCGTGAACTTCCTTACTGTGTTAGTCGAACATTAGAAAGTCATAGATGCTATGGTTCCTGGTGATCTCCGAAATAAGCCATTTCCTCTACCACGTAATATTCATTGAAGATTCAATCAATCTGAGCTTTGAGCTGACTCCACTGTAATCACTGTCATGATCTGATAATCCATCTGTCAATTGAGATTATAGATTGCAAGGTCGATTAACTGGGCGGTTTAGGATTAAGCTTGGGTTGCACCTGAATTTCAAACAGCTATTAAGAGAGTAATTTAATAATTTATAAATATTATCACTAATTTGCATCATCAATATTTTAACGTTTTACATACTAGTAAAGTGCTCGTGGCTAAGCAATCCTAGTCAGCTCAGTCTATGGATGGGTAACCATTCTTAACACATTGAGACCCCTCCGTGTCTCAGAGAGCCGTCGGTCATGGTTACTATATGAACATCTGCGGCAATCGTTACGGGTCGTTGGAGCCCAGTCTTTCTTCAGAACTTTGGTATCGCCTTGTATTTGGGTTGTGGAGGTCTGATGGCACTCGCTCCGTGTAAAAAATCGAAGATCAGCCGTATCTTGGTGGAGTTAAAAGACGACCCGAACCTATAATAATAATTTTTTTTGGACATCTGACACACAACGCCATCTAGTTTCAAACTAAGCAGAGCTTGTACTATGAAAGCTAGAGTGACTGATAGATAAGTTATGTATTTTTTTTGTAAATACATACATATTATACATAGAAAACACCCAAACTCCGGCACAAATATTTGCAGATCATACAAACATTGACGGACCTGTTGGTCTTGGTGACCCTGACTGCAGCACAATGATATGTTGTGTGTCTGGGTGTAATTTATCTATAACTAGCTGACCCGCGCAACTTCGTCTGCGTCTCTCAATAGTAATAAATTTTCTCCGTTTTTGAAACATTCTTCATTGGTGCTCCGCTCCTATTGGTCTTAGCGTGATGATATATAGCCTATAGCCTTCCTCGATAAATGGACTATCTAAAACTGAAAGAATTTTTCAAATCGGACCAGTAGTTCCTGAGATTAGCGCGTTCAAACAAACAAACAAACAAACTCTTCAGCTTTATAATATTAGTATAGATATGTATGTATTTAGAAATATATAAATATGTTTATCAGCAGTCTGGTTACGATAGCACAAGCTCGGCCTAGTTTGGAATCAGACGGCCAAGTGTCAGATGAGTGAAGTTATTATTATTATTTGGTCCTAACCTGAGACCTCAGCACAGCAGTCGCATTCGCTACCATCGAGGCAACCTAGTTTAGAAAAAAGGCTCGGAGGAAAGAAAAACCTACAAAGGATGAAAAATTAACACAATACATTTTTAAGTGTTATTACGAGTATTATTTAATGGGTTTAATTCCACACTGAATAAAAAATATTTATCTGTAGTCGTATTTCATCTAATGAAATCACCCACGTTCAGCCTACGAAACATGGGTGATCTTTGCCTACAGCATTATAAAAAAATATTTTATAATTTGTTGGTGTCTGGCTCTTGTTACTACACGTAGGTAG